AGAAGAAGAAGAAGAAGAAGAAGAAGTACAGTTTTAAAAACATCCTCTCATCTCCTGTTTGCCGCTCAGAGCGAGACCCAGAGTCAGTTTTTGCGATCCGGATTCCTTCCCCAATTATCCCAGGTCACTAATAAGGCGGGGTGTGGAGGCACTGGGCTGTGCCGCAGTGGCCTAGAGGCTCGGTGCCAAATTGAAACGACTCGGGAAATAGAGGCAGACGCTGAATCTTGCCTAATTGCAGCTGGAGTGTGTGGCTGGCTGCTCAGATGTGTGTGAAAGAGAGAGAAATGTGCAGAGAGTGATGAGGGTCTGAGAGAGAGAGAGAGAGAGAGAGAGAGAGAGAGAGAGAGAGAGAGAGAGAGAGAGAGAGAGACGATGAGAGGCATCAAATAAAGAGAGGGAAAAGGGAAAGAAATGAGGGATGGAGACTGAAGGATGAGTGGCAGTTGAGTGAGATTGGGTAAACTCAGAACCCCCGAGAATGAGGGATTTTCTTCTGGCCCTTTTCTTGCTCTCCCTTTCCCCCTAACACACTCCCTCCCTCCTCTCTCCTCCCTCCTCGCTCATCAAAGTCTTTTGACAGCTGACTTCTGGCTGCACACATCAGAGGGAGCAGAGCCGGGGCAAGGCTGAGACAGAGAGAGGAGGAGAGAGAGTAGCCACCACCAAAGCTCCTGCTTGAACAACACTTTCTTTCATGTTTCTGGACCAGGACATGTGGTTAGAAATGACCCTTGATGCACTTACCAAGTATCTCTCTTTTTTTCTTTTTTTTTTTTTTTTTTTTTTTTTTTTTTTTTTTTTTAAAAAACAAATTTTTTTTGCTGTTGGATCACATGATCCAGGATATCTTTGGCTTTAAAAAAAAAAAAAAAAAAAGAAAAAAAAAAGAGCAGATACTTGGTAAGGGCATCAAGGTCATTTCTAACACATGTCCTGGTCCAGAAACATGAAAAAGAAAGTGTTGTTCAAGCAGGCAGCTTTGGTGGTGGCTTACTCTCTCTCCTCCTCTCTCTGTCCTCAGCCTTGCCCCGGCTCTTGCTCCCTCTGATGTGTGCCAGCCAGAAGTCAAGCTGCTCAAAGACTTTGCATGACGAGGAGGGAGGATGAGAGGAGGGGGAGTGTGTTAGGGGAAAGGAGAGCCAAGAAAGGACCAAGAAGAAAAATCCCTCATTCTCGGGGGTTACTGAGTTTTACCCAAATTCTCACTCACGGCCACGTCATCCTTCAGTCTCCATCCCTCATTCTTTCCCTGTTTCCCTCTCTTTATTTGATGCCTCTCATCGTCTCTCTCTCTCTCTCTCCTCTCTCTCTCTCTCTCTCTCTCTCTCTCTCTCTCTCTCTCTCTCTCTTCAGACCCTATCACTCCTACTGCACATTTCTCTCTCTTTCACACACATCTTGAGCAGCCAGCCACACACTCCAGCTGCATTAGGCAAGATTCAGCGTCTGCCTCTATTTCCCGAGTCGTTTCAATTTTGGGCACCGAGCCCTAGGCCACTGCGGCACAGCCAATGCCTCCACACCCGCCTAATTAGTGACCTGGGATAATTGGGAAGGAATTCCGGATCGCAAAAACATGACTCTGGGTCTCGCTCTGAGCCGGCAAACAGGATGATGAGAGGATGTTTTTTAAACTGTACTTCTTCTTCTTCTTCGTCTTCTTCTTCTTAAAAAAAAAAAAAACAAAAAAGTTATGGCACATGTGGCGGAGAGAGATTTGGGCTTAAATCACGAGTGAACGCCCCAGCTTAAGTGTTACTGTGGGGAGGATAATTAGGAATCGGAAATGTTCACCCCCACCGTCCTTTCCCGTTCTTCCCACTCCGCCTGAACCTCCACAAAAGCCCACTCTGTTGAAGAGAAAACCCTCTCAGCC